TTTTAGCAGGGCTGTTTTTCATGATAAGGTCCGACGTTGTGGTAGACTTGTAGTAGATATTAATTATTACTAGTTTATGAAGGTTTTTCTTTTGACAGTTTGATTATTTTTAATATTTTTAAAGCTAGAATACTTATTAATTATCACTACATGATTACTACATCAAAATTTATTGTATATATAGTTTTTCTTTATTATTGTTAAAACTAGAACTCTTGCTACATACCAATACCAAACTAATGTCATTGATAGATCAACGTTTGTTCTATAGACGGTTTATAATACATTTGCACTCTGTGGCTCAGTGGCAAGTCAGTGGGCTTAAATGCTAAAAAAATTGTATTTTGATACCCATGATGAACAGAGCACAGATAGTAGCCCATTATGTATCTTTGTGCTTTACAACAAATTTAAGTTTATAATGTTTTTCCATTAATTAACTAATAATATAGAAGCATACCTTTTAGAAACTTCGTTAGCTTTGGTAAACTTAATGTTTTACTTTTAAAAATAGTAGAATAGGTAAAATTCATTTTATAACGGACATAAACAAACACTTTAATTTCTAGACTTCACACATGTCTTACTTTAGGGTGTAAGCAAAAACTATTTGGAAATAATTAACGCAACTTCAGACATACAGACTGATTAAAATTATATATATGTGTCTATAGGAGAAACATTCAGTGTAAGTATAATATATATAAAAAATTAAGTTAATCACTGTGAAATTTTCTTGATTAAAAGTGTTAGAAACTTCTGTTTTATAGTAAAGTGTTTTTGTTTTTTTTTGTAGGTGTGGAAATGTTGCAGCGATTTTAGAATTAGACGAAAACCTTCAAAGAGAATTTACAATATTTGAAGCAGCACCTCAGGTAATTGAGGTATATAAAAAAAGAGAGATTATTTAACTTTGGTTTAAGATAAAGGAAGTTTTACTTTACTTAGAAATAAAGAAATCAAAAATTACTTCACCATATGGCATTTGTACAAAATACATTCTATGATGGTTGGATGTACTTTTCAATAGTATGACACATTCTTATGAAAGGAGGATGTACTTTTTGTTAGTATGAAATACATTCTTACAATGGCTGGATGTACTTTTTGTTAGTATGAAATACATTCTTACAATGGCTGGATGTACTTTTTGTTAGTATGAAATACATTCTTACAATGACTGAATATACTTTTAATTAGTATGAAGTAAATTCTTACAATGGCTGCTTGCAAGTTAGCTTCTCCTCTTCCATGGTTATATGTTGGTCACCCACCTTGTGTCCAACAAGGTCCAGCACAGAATAACTGATATAGCATTAAGATGGTCTGATGGTCAGACCTGCTGCCCTCACTCGCCTGAACAGCTCTCCGAGTTTCTTCAGGTGGTCTTCCCATCTGGTTGTGTGGGTCAGAATGTTGTCCACATAATGCTTGCTATTGGTGGTTTTGTGCAACATCTTCCTCATCATGCAGTTGAATGTTACTGTTGAGTTGACTAACCCAAATGGCATCCTCTTGCTGTTAGCATTCATCTGGTGTCACAAAGGCTGTCTTCTCTTTATATCTTGTCTCTATCAAAATCTGCCAATAATCTTTAGTGAGGTCGATCTTGGAAAACAATTTGGCCCAGTCAGCTGAGGTTCAGCTTCTGGCAAGCTATGTAGAAGTGATTTGAGCCATCCCTCTTCTTCATGATTACCACTAGTGAATGGTAGGATGAATTTGAAACCTCAGTCATTCTGGCTTATAACATCATCTCAACTTCTAGCTTGATCAGGTCTCTCCTTACATGGTATCTGGTAGGGTTTCATCTTGACTGGATCCCTGTACAAGGTCTGTCTTGTCTGGTCTATCTGTGAAGACATCTGCATACTGCTTCTGCTTGCCAGTCAGTTCATCACTGACTTTGATGTTTTGCTTGCTTTGCTATTCTTGAGCTCTTGTAGTGACTGCAGATGCCTCATCAGTCTTCTTTTCGTCTGGTTCCTTCAAACTTCTACTGCCTGGTATATTGCCAATCATCAAGTCTTAAATGGGTGCTTTCATACATATGGCCTTAAGTTCTCCCACATAGTATGGAGTGTTCATCTTTGTTCTTGCTGTGGGAAATGTTCTCACTGTCCCATCAATTAACACACACAGATGTACCTTGCCCGTCATCTGTTTATCAGATGTTAGACTGGTTCTCACTGCTGCACCCAGTGTCTCCTAGGGCTTTCACTTTCTTTTCCCTGACATCTTCACGTACTAGCACCTCTCAATATCTCATGCTCTAATCTCCACCGGGAATGTTGACTCATTTGCTAACTTGAGCTGATCATCAGTTATGCACTGTTTAATCATGATGATAGCACTTCCTTCTTATGGTAAATCTAATTGAGTTGTCTTTATTCTGTTTCTTCTGGCAGCAGTATCTATGATGACAGTCACTTTTTTTTGTTTCTTACCAGCACCATCTTTGTAGGTAGCTCCAGCTACTTTATATTGAAATTTCTGCTGTTGCTTGTTGTTGACAGACTTGCACTTGCACACAATGTGACCCATTTTATAACAATTATAGCATCTCTTCTTCATTTCTCCATTTTATTTGTTGACTTCTTGTTACCTTTGATGGCATCATGCTTCTGTTCAGCCATCCCTGTTTTTGACTGACTGGTTATTCTTGGACTTGCCAGTTATATGCTCTTTAAGGCTAAACTTACAATCACACAGTCTAGATCCATCTATCTAAATAACTAACTTGAACTACATTTTGGACATATATTTATAGCTTGATAGAGGCTTAAAATATTCCACACACCGAGATATTATGATGCAATAATACTCAATTAACATGAGAAAAAAATGTAAAAGGTTCTAGTAACATGATGCAATAATACAAGTGCTAGTTCACAACAACTGAACTACACAATGCATGATTCATACACAAGTACATAAACAAATGTGATAAACCATTGCCTCCAAAAATAAGAAAATTTAACACTCCCACTATAACCAAAGTTAACCAGTCCTAACTGTACATTTCACTAGTATGAAGTAAATCCCTATGAGGCTGCATGTACATTTCACTAATATGAAATAAGTTCTTACAATGGTTTCATGTAGTTTTTGTTAGTATGAAATACATTCTTATGATGCCTGAATGTACTTTTTCTATTGTAATGTTCTTGTTTACAAGTATTTAAGATAAAGAAAATTCACAACTCAATCTGTTTCACAAGGTTTGCTTGCTGAAAGCACACTGGTCATCAAATTTCTTGTCTTATTAACTTCTGATGAAAAGTATACATGACCAGCATGGTCCAGTGGTTAGCCTGCCAAATTGTGGATCTGTGGGTCCATTGTTCATGTCTTGTTACAGCAAAAACAAAAAAGTCTCACACCACACTTCATGTCACTGTCCAGTATTCGGTCAGACAAGAGTTGGTGGTGGGTCCTTATTGTTTAATTGTCTTCCATTTAGCCTGTCAGTTCAAACTGGGATACAGCTATATAAAATTAGTTCTTTTGTAGCCTTGCACAAAATTAAGAAACTCATCAACTAAATTACAATATATATATATATATATATATTGAAAATAAAAAATAGCAAATCCTAAAACAGATTTATCAGTTTCAAAATTAAATAATACCATTATTTATAATATTACTGGTTTCTTTCAAGAGTGTAATAATTTCCTAATTCTTGGTAGATGCTTCAAAATGTTTCCTTAGCTTTTTAGTGGATATTGGACATTTTGTAACAAGCAGAAAAAATATTAACATTGATTTCTCATCTTCTACTTAAATTGTTTTCATAAATTTGACCTTTTTCTTTTTTCTTTTTTTTTGCAGGAAAGTCGAGGAATTCCAACGAAAAAGCCACAACCTGATTATTTCCTTTAATTTAAAACTGAAAACAACAGTGGTGTAATAAGTAAATCATGACGTTGTTCTTTTAGTGTACTTCAGAACATAGTGAAAGATCTGCCAAATACAAAGTGTCTTGATGCCTTACTGGATTTGTTTCGTTAAGATCACCTGATCCCCTTCTGAGGAGAAACTTACAAAACTAGGATAAATCAAAGTTTTTTTAGTGGGTCAGAAGGGGTTGAGTACCAAACTGTTCACTTTCACTGTCTACCAGTTCATACTGTGTCAAATTTGATTATACTTCAGTATGTAAAAAACTGAGTAACATGTCCAAAACTGATTCCTGAGCTCTTGTCAAACTAGGTAAATGTAAACTTTTAAGTGTATAGTCTGGAAATAAACTAAAGTTTCCTGTACTTGTGTGTGTTGAAAATAGTTCCTTAGTAAATCACTAGAGCATATAAGAGCACAACTTCAAACTGATTTAATTTGTTAAACTGGTTTTTGATCTAGGGAAAGATTGTTTTCAGAGTCCAGTTAGTAATTAAATATATCTATATATATCCTTTTTAAAATGTATTATTCGTAATTGTAAATCAGTAATAGTAAAAAGGAACTACAGTAGACCAACCATCTCAAAACTCTTCACATCATTTCCAGAGATAAGATATTAATTTGATCTAGGGCTTCAAGGTAGTTGGAGTTTGTAATTCTTTAGAATAAGTATTTAAAACAAATACGTTTTTGTACAGTTAAAGAAATTTTGAGAAAGACTAATTTGTGATTGAATACTCGTGAACATAATAGTGTTATTTGTGTTAATAATATCAAAAATTACCACTGTTACCCAGTGGCGTATTGAGGGTATTTGGCGCCCTGGGACAAAAACCTCAATTTGCACCCTCTTCCACACATACACCCCCATTGAAATAAAGATATCTCTACCGTAGCCTACTGTAAAATGAAAGTCTATGTAATATGGGAAACCTTATTAATAAAATAAAACATTGTAAAACATTGTTTATCGATATGAAATAATAGAACAGGAATGATCATTTACAGACATATGGAAATATGGCCTTTCATTCATTAGATGAATTATACAAGATGCAACTTCTTTGCTTTAACTGCTGCAAATTTATGTATGATTTTGTGGAAATTAATTTTGTCAAGTGTTTCCCACTCTATGCTTATTATGGCCTTCTCACGGAGCCTGTGAGAATAAGTTTTAATTTGCTAAATGATCGTTCGCAGCTACCATTTGAAACTGTTAGCATGATTTGCAATGCCAAACGCATATTAGGGAAAACGTCCTCTCCATATGCTATTATGAATGATAATAAATCAATAACAGAGTCTGGTGCAGCTTCCTGGCATATATTGATGATCATTTTGCAGTCACAAATTTCATGATAGAGTGCATTTCCATCTATGTCAGTGTTGTATAATATGCCCAAACGTTCACACTTTTCTTTAAGGGAAGGTTCCGATGTTGATGGAACACTGGTATCTTTCAATAGCTTGTGCATGTTAAAAAGGAATCCAAATCTCTTGTTTAGGTCATGCAGTCTTGTGAATCTGATTTTCATCTCTGGCTGGAGGCGATCGAGAATACATTTCAATGCCCTTTCTAGCTCTCCCTCGGCTGAAAGGCCTTCATCTCTTGATACTTCTCCACTCATTGCTTTTTTTTCTTCATGTTCTTCTGCTTATTTCAATTCTGTCTTTTTCTTCTTTTATTGAGTTCTGACACAATTCCTCATGGTTTTCAGAAATGTATAATTGCAGGGCTTTAATTACTTTATATGCTTCTTGAAAGTTCATTGTTGGATCTTGTAAGCGCTTCTGCACACGATAAACTTTTATCAATGTATTATACCATAAGGGAAGCAGTGTGCAAAAATTGAAAGATAGCATGTTGTGAAGTATTTGGCCAGCTTCTCCTCTCGTTTCCATTGTTTGCTCAACGTCCTCTGATAGAGTTTCCAGTAACCTTATTAGCTTATCAAAATTATTGTGGATAGTTTTGACTGCTTGCACTCCAACGAGTGTCAGATTCTTGTTTTACTGTGGAGCCTACAGCACTTCTAAGCTTATCCCAGCGCAGGGTTGACCTTGAAAAAAACAGTTATATTATTTGAATAACAACAAAAAAATGTCACTGCCAATGGCTCCTGGGCAGCAGTGTACTCTGGCAAGATTTAAACTATGGTTATCACAATTTGTGAAAATGGCTTTGGGATTTTTTCCTAGTATTCTCTGTTGTAGGCCAGATATACAACCAGACATCACGGCTGCATTGTCACAGCATTGTGATCTATTGTAGCTGCATCTTCACACAGAAGTTGTATAAATCCAAGGAACGATTCTTTAATTACGACTGTTTTATTCTTTAAATCTATATCCACATACCTTATGATTTCCCCTCGACGTGGATTCCTGTACGTGGTGAGGGGACCTCACAGGGAAGGTTCTGTATTTTCAGTTA